TGCTTATAAGAAGGTTCGGGATGTAGCTTTCATGGGGGTGTGAAGGTTCTACTCAGAGTTTCACCCATGAAGGGTGTGATGAGATTTGGGAATAAGGTCAAGTTGACCCCTCAGTATATTGGTCTTTTCGATATGTTGGAGAGAGTTGGTGAGGTGGCCTACAGACTTTCTTTGCCACCCAGCTTATTGGCAGTTTATCTGGTATTTCTCGTTTCCATACTTCAAAACTACTATGAGGATCTGTCGCACGTGTTGGATTTTAGTTCAGTGCAGTTAGATGAGGATCTTGCTTATGAGAAGGAGCCGATGGCCATTTTGGATAGGCAAGTTCGGAAGCTGAGGTCGAAGAATATTGCATCAGTGAAGGTTTAGTGGAGGGGTCAACTGGTCGAGGAGGTACTTAATAGACCGAGCATGATATGCAGAGTGGATATCCTTATCTTTTTGATATACTAGGTATAATTCTAAACTTGTTCGAGGATGAACGTTTGTTTAAGAGAGGGAGAATGTAACAACTCGGCTAGTCGTTTTGTATATTGAAGCCTCGTTCTCATATTTTATGCTTCCCGTGTGCTTCTTTGTTATTTTGAAACTTATGGGGATGGTTTGTTTAGTTTCGGAGAAGTTTTGGAGTGAATTGGAAAATTTAGTTCTAATGTTAAAAGCTTAATATATAAGAAGTTGACCGAAGTTTAACTTTTCGGTAAACGGACTCAAAATGGTATTTTGATAGTTCCAATAGATTTGTATGGTGATTTTAAACATAGGCGTATGTACGGATTTGGATTTGGAGTTTTCTATATTGATTTGGCTTTATTTGGTGAAAGATGGAAATTTGAAGGTTTGGAAGGTTCATAGGTTTGACGGGGAGTTGACTTTGATGCTATTGGGTTCAATTATTGTTCTGGAAGTTGGTATAGGTTCGTTATATCATTTGGAATTTGTATGCGAAATTTAGGGTTATTCCGAGTTGTGATTTATAGTTTTGATGTTACTATGTATGATTTGAGATCACGAATAGGTCCATATTACATTTTGGTACTGGTTGGTGTGGTTTGATAGGGTCCCGAGGGGCTCGGGAGTATTTTGAATGGATATCGGATCATGTTGAGCTTAGTTGAGCTGCTAAAGATTTACTGGTGGCTGGGGTGCTTCGCGATCGCAAAGCAGGTCTCGTGATCGCGAAGAGTCTTTTTCGGGCAGCTGAATTTTTTTTCTTTCGCCTTCGGGAATAGGGCATCTCGTTCGTGAAGAGTTGGATATGTTGGTCTTCACTTTTGCGGGCAAAAGGCTCGCGTTCGCGTAGTGGAGAGCCTGGCAAGGAGCCGGCTGGGGGTATGCCTTTATGTGCACGATGGGTTGACCACGTTCGTGTAGGCCTGAGGATCTTAAGCATCGTGTTCGCGGGTGGAAGACTGCATTCGCCAAGAGCATTTGTGGTCTAGGGGTAGATTGTGCTTCACGAACACGAGGCTTGGGTCGCGTTCACGAAGGGTACACTGTGCAGATTTTTAAAGATTTGTATTTCGTGACTTAGACCCATTATTTTATATTTTGGGCCCTAGACTTGGAGAAGGGCGATTTTTTACGGGGATTTTCGCACAAAGTAAGAGGGTAAGTGATTTCTACTTGATTTTAACATTATATCTTGATACCCATAGATTATCACACATAGATTATGGGGTTTGAAGGAGAAATTTGGGGATTTTGACTATGGTTTTGGAGAGTGAAAAATGTAGATTTGGACCTCGATTTGGAGTCGGATTTGGATGAAACTTCTATATTTGGACTCGTATTTGAGTGGCTAATCGGGATATATGACTTTTGTCAGGTTCCGGGAGGCAGGCTCTGATTGACTTTTTGCTATTTGATAAAGATTGGAGCTTTATTACTTGGAATCGATTCCTATAGTATTGTTTGACGTTATTGAGTTATTTTTTGCTAGATTTGACCCATTCGGAGGTCGATTCAAGAGGCAAGGGCTTTTCAGAGTATTAATTCTTGCACTTTGAGGTAAGTATCTTGCCTAGGCTTGGCTTGAGGGTATTTTCCTCATAGATTTTGATGCTTATTATGTGTTGGGGATGATGCACATATGTGGTGACGAGCGTATTTGTGTACACTGTGGTTATTCATGATCAGGGTAGACTTTCGGCTATTACAAACCTTCTTTTGCTAACATGCCTTTCTGTTACCATGTTTTCTTTACTTGTATGACTACTTAAACTATCACATGATATATATCATATTTAGGCTATGTTCTTATCCGTTTGAGACACGATAGGGCTATTTTGTTGTGTTAGGTTGTTTGCCTTGATTGTAGTCAAACTTTTCAGTCATGATATTATATCTGCGTGTTATTTCATCATTTTTCTGTACTTCTTATCAATTATATCACATGTTGTTGGCTTCCTTACTTGAGTACTACTAGTTTGAATGGATTTGTGGCACGTTATTGTAAATTCTGCGATATATATTGATTTATGATACTATGAGATATTCGCATATTAGCGTATTAATAACTGAACTGGGGCCATAGAGCTATGATAATTTTGAAATTGATATGACTCATATGCCAATCCCCCTATTGGGCTGAGTGGTATTGATATTGAGGTGACGCGTGCACCAGGCCATTTGGGCTAAGTTATGATGATTGTTGACTTTTGACTTGATTAGCGCTTGGGCTAGGATCTGCCCCTCTGGAGTCAGGTAATAACTCATGGTCTTTGGGCCTTGTGAGTGCAGGCACTTGGTATATGCTGAGTGAGGGCTTCATGTCAGGCACTCGTACAATGTTGAGAGTGTGCTTATATGATGATTTCACCGTGAATTCGTTGATTTTGACATTGTTACTTGTCATGCAGGCATAGACATTTATCTTCCTCATGCTAATTGAAATTCTATATCTAGAATTTGATGACCTAATTGATTTTATTGGAAAGCATGCCTATTTCCTGTTAATGTGAATAATTTGAACTTATTATTCTTGAGTTGCTTCCCCATTATTATTATTATTGTTGTTGTTGTTGTTATTATGTTGTTTCTGTCATTGTTGACTGTTGAAAGTGAGTAGCGGACTTTGCCAATCTCGTCACTATCTTCAATCTGAGGTTAGGTTTATTACTTACTGAGTACATGGGGTAGGTTGTAGTCATACTACACTCTGCACTTTATATGCAGATCCAAGTGCTACTGATAGAGCTTATTGATAGAGAGTTGCACCAGTGTCGTTTTGGAGTTCAAGGTAGCTATGTTATTTCCGCCCGCACTCCTTGGAGCCTTTTTCTTACTTTAGTCATTATTGTTTATGTACTCCAGATAATATTGTATCGTTATTCAGATAGTTGTACTTATTATTCTGTAGAGCTCATGTACTCGTTAACATCAGGTTCTAAGATGATATTGTAGTTGTATCGCTATATTGTGCTTCAGTTATCTGTCTTATTCCACTTTCGAGGCTATTTCTTATTAGTGTTAGAGTTTATTTTTGTATATTTGATGTTGGTTTGCCTAGCAAGTAGTGTTAGGCGTCGTTAAAACTTTGGTGGGATTTGGGGTCGTGACAATGCGGATGTCGAGGTTGTGCCATATTTTCGATAGATTTTAGGCTTATGTTATGATTCGATGCGCATCTTCACATGCTAGTATATGTTATATGCATCTCTCTTATGCTTACTATAACATGATAAAATATAGTTTGTCATGACTAGTTGTTGTAAGACTACTTGAGTATTTTATTCATGATAGAATAATGTTATTCATATCATTCACATGCTAGTTTAACATTTTGGATTTCATGTCCTTGTCTTACTTGATAGAACTGTGTAGATATACACTATCTCTTTATATGCGTCATTCTAGCATATATATCTAGTTCTCATCATTCATCTGAGATTGTTTGGGCGTTCGGATTCACGTTCCTGTGTTGAGGCATCTGTTTGGGCGTGTAGATTCACATTCATGTTTTGAGACATTCGTTGGGCGTTTGGGCTCGCGTTCCTATATTGAGATATTTATTCATGTGTATAGATTTACGTACCGACTACGTGTCGATATGAATCCGTCCCTATAGAGTCAGCAAACACCAGAATTCTATCGGTAGTGCATGCTTAATAGACACATGGATTTGAGTTAGACACATAGATTTGTGTCGGTTTTAGAACCAAATTTGTGTATTTATCATGCTTAGACATTCTAAACTCATGTAGAACATTCAGGCATATCATCTACATATGTGTATTCATGTATTTTACACATATATGGAACTTGATTGCTTGTTGTTGAACACTTGACGGGTGTCGGATTGATGTAAAGTTTGATTCTTTACTACTTGTTGCATATCTCCTTTATATGCGGATTTGGTATATTTGTATAAGCTTTTGACTTTGTTATTTAAAAACACATGCTTATTCTCCTTGTCTTTAACTGTGCACCTTATAATTAATATTTGTTGTTTCTCTGTTATTATATATATGCTTATGAACTACACAGATTATACAAAGTGAGTATCTTTTGAGTAAAGCCCGCTACTACTTTGTTGAGGTTAGTCTTGATACTTTCTGAGTACATGGGGTCGGTTGTACTCATACTGCACTTCTGCACCTTGTGTGCAAATTTTGTAGTTGAGCCATTTTGGAGTTTGAGAGCAAGCGTTGAGGACATATCAAAATTCCAGTTATTAGCTATCATTTGTTCATGGTAGCCTAGGATCTTGTATTTCTACTTACATATATTCAAAAACATTTTTTCATATCAGTGTTATACTCCTACTCTTAGTTGCTCATGACTTGTGATATCCATTCTTGGTTAGTTATTGGAATTTTGAATTTTAATTTCTTAATTATATGATTATTATCTTCTACTATGGTTACACATGTGTTGGTGGGTTCGCCTAACGGGTTGGGTTAGGTGTCATCACAACCTAGTAGGATTTGGATCGTAACAAAATTAGAGCCCTGATTCCGTGTTCCCATCAAAAGAATAGAGGAAAGGCAAAGAAGTTTCAAAGTGTTCAATCCAGTAATCAGAAACAATAAGATTTACTTTCGGGTTAATCCACAAGTTAATACATTTTCAGCAGACTAGTCTGAATAAATTTTGGACACAAATAGAGCTATACATCGCAAAAATAGACTTCCTAAGCCTCGATGGCTCCATTTCAGATGAGGTTGACAACCGATTATTCACCTGTTTCCAGTCCATAGATGCACATGCTAAGATCATCAATAAAATTGACTGTTCTATATAACACATGACCAACTGCCATCAACCATCATGTATACTATATCAGCTGCAGTTTGAGCAACTTCGGATATTGCAGTTCAATTGCAGCTGTAAGGCCCTCTTAGAACGAAGTGTGTAGAAGAAATTGACCACCTCTTAGTGTAACTTGTTTTTCTGCTTTATATTAGGAATTAAATGAGTACCAACAAGTGTTAGTTCCACTCAACATATTCTTGGGTCATAATACTGAGTTAAAAGATGTTCAAGAGAGGTCTTGCACTTCAGTTGAGCTTTCCTTGGATCTGTGCTTCCTTTTCTTACTCCTGCATTTTTAAAACAGCAATTATTTCAGTCTGGTGGTAGATAATATGCCTGAGACATAGAGAAAGAGATCCAAATATGGCAAAGATTAAATATTAAGTTAGTCGAGATAGGACAAAATGACAATCTGAGAAAAGTTGATAGAACGTACTTGTCGTGTGAACCAGGATCAAGACATGATTTGAGTTTCCTGTCAATGTGCTTCACATCTTTGGAAGTTGGAGGAGCCTCAAGTTTACAAATCTGTCAATATACCACGAGTTCAGGCAGTAAGCTGACTACATTAAGCACAGAAGGAAATTTTAGAGAGGAAAAAAAGAAAATTTTCCATAAGTAGCAGGGCAATTATAGGCCTGGATTAAAGCAGAAAGCACTTACCAAAGAATCAATGGTATTTAAAGAAACTGTAAGTTCAGAAATTGTTTGAGTTGACTGTTGACGTGATAGGATGCTTCTCAGATACCTTCATGAAAAATAAATATCATGTCAGTAGGAGGAAAAGGAGACTAGCTTGCATTATTTCCGAAGATAGCGGCTTAGACCTCTCAAAATCAAGAATGCCATGCACCACATTAGCTCGACGCAAAGCTGCCAAAGCCAACTGCAACAATTACATAGAAGCTAAATCAGATTACCAGATAAAAAGACACGTATGTGGTGTTAAGGTTAGTGCATTCATAAAGAGCAGATCATAATGCCAAACACAAACCAGACTGTCAGTCAACTCTGTTATCATGCATGATCATGAGACAAATCTCTTGATATGTCGACCGTACGATGATCAACATAAACAAGTTCTTACATTGACTCACTATTTTTGTAACACTCCCTCATCTAAAATATGACTTCTCTGGATATAACGTGTCCATCACAAAGAAGAGCTCCTCTGAAGTGATCCAGTCAGAACCACATTATGGATGCATTATTAACCATATTGATAATGATTGTCTACTCAAGTGATTGCATGTTACAGTTAAAGCTGCATAATGATCTCGATAGAATAGTGAGTAACATCGTCTGCAGTACTTTCTAACTTGTGTTGTTTCGGTTGAGAGAAAAGAAAAGAGAACGCAGAGGAAGAATATGTTTTTTATTTTTTTGTGTTCACATTAATTTAAAAAATAGAAGGCCAGCAGATAGAGATATGAAAGGATAACATAATAACCAAAAGAAAATTGAAAGTTTCGGATGTAAAAGTGATTGGCCTAATACCCAAAACATTTGGTACTAAACTTCTGAGCATGTAGTACTAATTATTAACCTGACCATGGAGAATGGAGAAATAAGAAGCAGTTAGGAGTGACATATGGTCAAGTGAAGTCAATATTTG